ATGCCTCCAAAGACGGACTTGGGTGTGTTTTGATGCAGTTCAGGAGGGTGGTAGCTTATGGTTCTAGGCAGTTGAAGAGTCACGAGCAGAACTATCCTACACATGACTTGGAGTTAGTGGCTATTGTCTTTGCCTTGAAGGCATGACCCCACTATATATATGAAGAACAGTTTGAGGTATTTTCGGACCATAAAAATCTGAAGTACATCTTCACGCAGCGGGACCTCAATATGAGACAGCGCAGGTGGATGGAGTACCTAGAGGATTATGACTTCAATTTGTATTACCAGCCCGGTAAGGCAAATGTGGTGGCTGATGCATTGAGTCGGAAGTCACAGAGAGTCTTGGCCAGTATAGCTTCCCGGGAGTGGCTGATGCTTAAGATTATTGGACAGTTCGGGCTACACTACAGAGGTCAGACTCATGGCACTTTGGAGAGTCTAGTGGCTACGTATTCCCTACTGAACAGAGTGATCGAGTCCCAAGGGCAGGATATAGAGATATTGTCTATCAGGGACCAGTTACAGTCAGGTACAGGTGACGAGGGCTGGGCCATTTACGCAGATGGTAGTCTTCGATTCTGGGGAAGGGTTGTGGTTCCCCAGTCTGCAGATCTGAGATAGGAGATTCTTAGGGAGTTTCATTGCTCCCGTTTTGCTGTGGATCCAAGTAGCACAAAGATGTACCATAATCTTCACTGCCAGTACTATTGGAGTGAGATGAAAAAGCACGTTGGAGATTTTGTTAGTCGACGTCTCACATGTCAACAGGTCAAGACTGAACACCAGATACCAGCAGGGTTGTTCCAACCTTTGGAGGTGGCTGAGTGGAAGTGGGAGCACGTCACGATGGATTTTGTGACGCACTTGCCACAAACATCGCGAGGGCATGACGCAGTATGGGTGATAGTGGACCGACTTACAAAGTTGGCACACTTTTTGGCAGTACGAATGACCTTCACACTAGAGGATTTTTGTAGACTGTATATACGAGATATAGTCCGATTACATGGGGTGCCTATATCTATAGTATCGAATTGAGACCCTAGGTTCACGGCCCATTTTTGGGAGAGTTTTCAGCGGGCCATGGGGACACAGTTGATGCTGAGTACTGTTTTTCATCCCAGACGGGACGATCAGTTAGAGAGGACTATCCAGACCTTAGAGGACATGCTACGGGCATGCGTCATTGATTTCAAGGGTGGTTGGGAGGAGCATTTACCATTAATAGAGTTCGCCTACAACAACAGTTATCAAGCGATTATATAGATAGCACCCTATGAGACACTTTATGGGAGGTCATGTCATTCTCCGATTTGCTGGACCGAGGTTGGAGAGAGACCCTCCACGGGTCTGAATTTGATTAGAGACACTTCGGAGAAGGTGGACTTGATACGAAAACGTCTTATCACTACTCAAAGTCGACAGAAGAGCTACGCTGACAGACGGCGACGACCTCTGGAGTTCGAGGTCGGAGATCATGTCTTCTTAAAGGTGATGCTTAAGAGGGGAGTGGTCAGATTCGAAAAGCGGAAAAAGTTGTCGCCGAGGTATATCAGGCCCTTCGAGGTACTTGAGAGGGTTGGTACAGTTGCCTATCGATTGGCATTACCGTCAAATCTATCTGGTGTTCACGCGGTGTTTCATGTTTCTATGCTCCGAAAGTACACTCCAAATCCTACACACGTGGTGGATTGGGGTGAGCTAGTGGTTGATGCGGATGGGACCTTTGCGGAGGGACCGGTGCGTATCATGGACAACCGAGATGAGGTTTTGCAGGGCAAGATTGTAAGTCTAATAAAGGTGCTGTGGTAGTACTGTGGGGTAGAGGAAGCGACATAGGAGCGTGAGGACACTACCTGAGCTACCTATCCGTTTTTGTTCGAGGATGGAGGTACATCTCTTATAGTCATAGAGTATTTAATGACTTTTTGCATATGCATGTCGTTATATGTGCATGTGGGTATAATTTCGGGGACGAAATTCCCTTAAGGGGGAGAGAATGTAAAACCCGAAAAAATAAATTAAAAAATTATTATTATTATTATTAATCTAAATTAAAGGGGTGACATAATAATTAATTGTTAGTATAAGGGTCAAAAACGTAAAAGTTTAAAAAAAAAAAATTATACTATATATATAAATGTGTGTAGAACAGTGATATCAGAATCGGACCGGACCGGCCGGTTGGACTGGTTCAACCGGGACCCTAACCGGTCCGGTTCCTTAGTTGAACCGCTTAAAGAAGCGAACCGGCTAAAAATCGAAAAATCGACCGATTTTTAACAAAAACCATGAACTGCCAGTTTGATAAAAATCGGACGGTTTAATGCCTATTTAAAAATTAAATTACATAAATAAATTTTTTTGCCCTAAATCAGTAAATAGCTGATTTTTTTTAACCTTATTCTTGGATAAATTATAAATGACACCCTTTCTTTTTCTTTATAATTTACTTGAACCTCTTTACTTTGCTTTAAAATACAATAACCCCCACTTTGTTACTTAATTTCATTAATTTTATGGCAAATTTTATGTATTTTATACATATTTTATATTTTTTAGCTAAATTATTAAGTTTTATAATTATTATATATTTATTTTTATTTTTTTATTATATGACTCGTCCGACCAGTTGACCCAACGGTTGAACCAGTGAACCATTGACCTAGTCCCCTTGTCGATTCGATGACCAGTCCGGTTCTGATAACATTGATGTGAAAGACTAAAGTCTTCCAGTTTTTCCTTTCTCCAGGCGGTGCCGAGTGAGTGAGAGAGAGAAAAAAATTTTATTTTTTTTCTTTATTTTACTTTTTACTTCTTCTTCAGATCTACGAAGATTGGACCGTTAAATTGCTTCGGACTCTCTACTTAGCGAGAGCTACGCAATTACACCAAATATCATATTTTTCTCCGAAATAATATCAAAGCCGATAATATCAAATCATATTCTAAACAATAGTCTTTGGCCGAAAGTATCTGTGCAATTTCGGGTGACAGGAACGTTGTTTCTATCTTCGGGCAATCAGTAGGGAAGGTTGATTTTTTAGTATTTGTCAAACACGAGAAATTACTAGAATACTTCAAATATCATAACATTAAAGATTCACCAACGGAAGTACGCAATACCCACCATACTTCTCTCTCTCTCTCTCTCTCTCTCTCTCTCTCTCTCTCTCTCTCTCATGAAAAATTGAACAGTCAATTTAGAAAATCAAGCCACCTCGATTTGCATGACAATGACGTCGTGAGAAAATTCAAAAACGGTTGAAGAAAGTTGCCACCAGTTGTGGCTCCCCAAGTTATGAGGTCGTGAAAAATTTCAAAAACGGTTGAAGAATTCTGCCTTTTCATTTGCCATTTGCCTTGCATTTGCAGTGAACTTTCTTGACGAGTGTAGAATTCTAGACAAAAGTGATTTGGATATGATTCTTTTTGGATAGATTTTACTGAACATCATCACGTATACAATTTATGTAAAAGTTTAGTCTAACTAATTGGCGGGATGTGGTCTAGTAGACCAATCAATCACGGACACATGGCACCGATTGTCCCGAGAGTGATGGTTATGTGAGGTATGGTGTGGGGCATGCTTGGTCACATAGAGAGACCCCAGATACTTTAAACGACTTATAGAAGTTTACCCATGCCAAGCAAGGGGACAAGAAACGAGTTAGCACCCCTCAGCATATCGATGGTGAGGCAATCTCATTACTGTACGAGAAATCCCCCCGTAGACTAATCTATTGTATTTACTCCAATTTGTTACATAGAATTTAAATTATTCCCAAATACAACGTCTAGCTTTGTTAAATAATTGAATAGGCCTAGAATCAAGCTTCTCCTAGTCTAGTGCAGGCAGCTGATTCCTCAATCAATGCAGTTGACTTGGTCAGCCTAACTGCATCTGATTCAATACGCTCCTAGACATGAAGATTAGTTTCAAATGTATCAAACCGAACAGTGGTTTAGTCAATAGGTCAGCTAATTGATCTTTTGATGGAAGGAATTACATTTGTAACTTCTGCAAAACTTGATCTCAGTATGCCCTCAAGCAGAGGCAATATGCAGCGGGCTCCAACCATCTTAGTTGAGTTCTTCAACGAATTCTCGCCGGAATTTCTTGATTTCTTTTACACAATCAAGGTGGCCGGCCATACAAGCAATATGCAACCGAGTTTCAGCTCCGGCCAACGCAGTAGCAGAGGTTCATTGTAGATCACATGGTGGGCAAGTTCACCACATTTCCAGCCCTAGCAAACTCAAACAGCCTACTTCCCATTCTTGATCTCACTCAAAATCTCCAAGTATTTTTGGAGGTGTGATCACAGACTCTATACACAGAAGCTTCTTGATCTTGGAACAAAATGCTTTTTTAAACATTGTATACTTTTTTTCCAATAAACGCTGACAAAATTTCTTTATGTTATTTGTATTAGTAACCGGCTGGTGGATGAGTGCTCTATGAGTCATCTGTCTAGCCCTGAACCTACGTGCTTACGGAATCAGCATACAGTAAAATGACACTAAATTTTAAGCAAATGATATCATTCAAACTAAATATTCGAGCTTTATACACTTGAGGAGACTCGAAAACTTCATATAGCTCACACGCCTGGACTCTGGAGTTCATTCAAACATTGTACATGTACTAGTTAGTATAGCACACATGAAGCCATAGAAAAACCATCGAAGCATTACAGTTTTGGAAACACAGAATGTAAAGTCGTGAGTATAAACTACGCTTTCATAAAACCAACACTAATTCTAAACAAGTCAAATATTATGGCTATAGATGACCTAAAATTTGAAATTTATGGAAGAATGCAATTGAATCCTTGAAACAACACGCATACACCCATCCAATCGATCTTCATATTAAACTTCAGATTCTAAACAAAACATTCGCATACAATCAATCTTCGTATATTTTGGTCTTAAAATAGCAGACGCATTAGTAACCCAATACCATTTAATCACACAAAAACTGTTTACAGAACCAAAAAAAAAAAAAACAATTTACATTAATCAAGAACCTTGGAGCATCAAAATACAGAATGCATTAACATTCTCTTCTAGCTGCCAAGAAAGAACTTTTCAGGACCTCAACCCCTGTGAACTTGGAAGCAAAAAGGACAATACAAATCCAATATATTTGAACATCAATGGCATCACACACTAGTTTCAAAAATTGTGGGGGTGTCCAACAAAAACTCAGATAAATTTTATTTTTACCCCCTTATGGTTTACCCACATAGCTTTCATCTCCCTATTGTAACCAAAATCCTAATGTGGTTTATAGACCAAAGTGTACAACACAGTCAACGGCACCTATAAAATGACCTCTTCTCTCTTTATTTTCTTCTCGTTCAGAAGAACATCCAAACAACTCCAGCAGAATCCGCCACACCCACCCCTACTCTGAATAGACAAGAAAACTAATTCAACTATGAATAGCCATGTCTACAGAGAGAGGGAGTGAGGTGTCACAAAGTTCATTGAAATGAACTTCATAATCAACACCTCTCCAACCCCGCTTTCAATAATGTCAGTGTATCAACAACACCAGATTTAACCATCTCTGAGCCCTTGGGTGTGTGCATTTTGGACATGTGGATAAAATGGAATTTTCCCTAAAAAATTTAACCTACAAAATTGCAAATATGGCATGGAATGCCACCAAACTGAATTCATGAAAAGTTAATACTTTTTAAACCCAGCAAAATACAACTCTCAAGTAACACATACAATTACTACCTCATAAAGGTTAGCTACAGCAAACATACGTCTGCATTCAACGATAATTAACCTAAAAAGGGCAAGGTAGGTAAACCAAGATGGCAAAAATTATAGTCTAACAATCGTTTTACCGCTATTTCATCCATGAACTACATGAGCGGGGGTAAGTCACACGCATCACCGTCAATAAAACCAGTTCTAATGCAGGATTTCACAGCACGAACTGCTCTTGGAGATGAGCAGCAGAAAATTAAGTGTGTAAAAAACCATGATGCCAAACTTCAAACCAGGACACTATCTGTCAGACCATCTCAAAAACTCAGTTGCTCAAGACACTATTTTATTTTATTTTTGGAACAAAACAAGACACTATATTTGAGACAACAAAATCTAAAAAAAAAAAAATACAGGAAAAAATCACCAACAATTCAATCACCTTAAAAAAAAGTAGAATCAAAATAAAAATGTCATAGATGAGCACATACATCCTATTGAACATAACAAAACCATGATAAATACATATTCAAAGACAAGGGAATGACGCAGTACTTTTAAATGCCTAAAGAACAAGGCAGTGTTTACTAAGCCCCAAAAATAAAAAACGAACCTCACCCAGGGATGTTGCTGTAGTCAACAAGAAGTCACTTATATATACTACGCGGATACAAAACAGCTATCAAAAGATTATCATCAAGAATTTCTAATTGGGTGATATTTGCCACAAAATGCCAATAATGGACATGTAGTTTTTCTAAAACATTTCCAGTGCCAATACACAATTTGGTCCCCAAATGATTTGAGGGTGCTCGGAGGGATGGACTACATAAGAGCCTAACCTTTAGCATTAATTCGCACGAAGTAATTGTTCTCAGATTCAAACAAAAAACACTGTTTGTTCACTGCACCAGCTCAAACAATACCAGTCGCTCAATTGCTCCACCTCTACCTTATCAACAAGCAATATAGATTTTCTTTATAGAATGACTATCTACCTGATCCACGAAGAATAACCAACTTCCTTTAAAGTTTTCTAAAAGAAAGAGATCATTTATCCAAAGGATTATTTGGGCAACATTCCCAAAGCATGTACAATGGCATTACTAATACAACCCTTGTAATGTAATTAGATCCCTTCTAATAGTTTCTTATCCAACAATGACATAATAGGTAGATCCAGATTTCCAAATTCCAAACTTTCAACAAGAAGATACGAAAAAGACCTCTACAATGTTGGCTATATCATCTCACTCACCAATCAGCAAACATCACCCATAACGAAGTTATTCAACATCTCATTCTTATCCAGCCAAAAACTATTTATGTTCCAGGTGACTTTCACCATCACGACATTTGATGGCATTTACCAAGGGTGTCGCAACAAATTTCACCAATGTCAAGCAGCACTAGTTGTATAAAAATCTATCCCCAACATGCGTTAGATATACAAGTGGACATTACAGACAACACAATTTGTACACATACCTACAGACAGCACAAAATCCAATTTCCAGGAGAAATAAAGAATCAGTGTGGTCACTTCAACCAGCCAAAGGAACCAAAGAAACGAACCAATAGATTCCATCAACAGACTTTAGCTTCGTCAAGATACAATTGACAATGTAATGATGACAAGCACAGATGCCATAATCATTCTCCAGTTGCACAAACACTACATTCTTTAGTCTGATCATCAACAGAGGGGGTACTTCAACATAGCTGGTTGAAGATTTCAATGGAACCAAGATGATATCCAACTTACATTTTTTAGTGAAGTCAGCCAACACTGAAAAAGCAGTATAATAGATGACCAAAGATTAAACTCAAACGTCAATACATCCATACTTGCTCTAATGGATATTAATAGTTCAATGCCATCTTAAACAGCCCATTTCCAGTAATATGGGGGCATTGTGGGAAGCAAGTTGATCCATAAATGCTTAGAGGAACTTGTTTAATCTGGCAAGGTACAAAATCACAACGTTGGCTGACCAACCCTCTATGTTTTATGATATTGGATCAAGGGTTGTAACACCAAAAAAACCAAGATTAGTTAGAACGGTATATAATGCCCTCAAATTCTTACTCGTCCAAAAGCCCTTAATCACATTAAGAACAGCTTGAGCTTAAACCACGTATTGTTTGTCCAGTGGAATGGATACAGTAACTTACCTCCTCTTTGTCCATCAAAATCTTACAGGGAGATACAGATAAAAACATTCATTCATAAATACCACATAGTAACATGTCTTCTTTTTGAAATTCTGAACAGCTCAAGTGTCCTTACAGCAGGAAAAATACGAGCCATCTAAATATTGAAACTGTAGATCTAAGACGCCCTGGAGTAAAAAACTTCTACTACAATAGATCTTTCCCTGTACCCAAACAGAAGAGGCTTTTCATGCTTCCATTTCAACTCTCTGAGCATCTCAATCCATAAGCTTCGAATAATTCACATCCTACAGCAGCCTCTTTGTCAACTCAAATCTGTACCATACACGAATTCACTAGTAACCACAACGCTCCTTTATCTTAGCACAGCGCTTATGAGAAGAAACAGAAGCAGTCTTCTGCAACCATGATCCTAAACAAAAGACAACTAAAGCACACAAATACTCAAACTCTCATACCTTATCAATCACATAGCATAGAACAACATTATGGCGTACCTCAATAATATGATCCAGAACCACCACTTCCCATGTAACTACTACCACCCAAACCACGGCCAGAATATAGCGATGAGTAAGAGCTACCACCAACCTGCAATACCAGTAAAAGCACAAGCATGAGTAACAAAGGAACCACTGGTAAACAACAAAAGTTTCAAAAACACCAGAGTTGAAAGCACAGTCATACATCACCCCCACGAGACATGTAATCACCACCAAAGCTTGATGAGTACATCCTACCAGCATCACTGCCACCATAAGAACCTGCAAGCAACAAACAAATATGACCGCAAAACATATAGGGCCAGAAACAATGTGGAGTACATGTATATCATAAAACACTACCGTCTTAAAGGTGACATATTAAATATGTTATCTTGTATGACATTGACAACGCACCTCCAGCATAACCCATACCCTGACGACTGCTGCTGCTGCTGCTATAAAGCCCATGTGAATCCTGACTGGAGATGGAATTTCTGCTGCTGCTACCATATCCTAGATTAGATCTCCCAAGTCTGCCAATATTTTTAAAAGACAGGTAAATCACAAAAAATTCAACAGAAAAACTCATTAGAACAACTCCTTCAGGTCTAAATACTATAACCGACCTATCACTGTAAGTATCCCCATACTGAGAAGCACTACCACCAAGTTCATAATCCAAACGAGCACGTGATTGCCGTACTCCTGCCTCAGCATATCGTGGAGGAACGTCGTCCTTATTGCATCAACAGATTAGAAAACACAAGATTTTACACTTCAAGCAAGATAGAAATGAGAAAACAAAGGTTAAAATCAGCGTAGGATATCACTAATGCGAAGAATCACCAACCATTGCAGTGTACGAACGTTTTGACCCAGAAATTGAATCATAATCACGCCCACGTCCCTCACGATAACTTGGAGGAGGCCTTTCAAACCTTTGCTCATAGCCATCATCAACATAAGCTGCTCTCCTAGCTGCAGGGCGGGATGTACCTCTGGGCAAATCAGGATAGACAGATCCACGGGAGGAATAGTCATCTCTATATGATGTACGTTTCTCTGAGGCAACTCTAGAACCATATTCTGCAGCAGCTCTGCTCCTTGGAAGAAGCTCCTCTTGCCGGCCATAGTCCCTCTTCATGATACTCTTGGGGTATGAAGGGACTGTAAGCACAGCTTTTACTAATCATTTCTCCCAGATAAGGACAACATTTCATTATCGTTCACCCATCTACATGAGTCTAGGCAATTGATCCCAAATAAAAATTTATGCATACCAGGGGGGGGTCTTCTGTCATATGACCTTGACAAAGGAGCCAGTGGCCTACCCCTTGGAGGCATAGCCATAACTGGTCGTCGATCCCTAAATCCAACAGGCCTCTTCAAACCACGATCAACAGCAGGGGGCATGCGTCCTCCAAATCCCCTTGCCCCTCGGACGGGGAAATTATGTGGAACTGGACGACTCCATGGACCCCTAGCAACTCGTGCAGCTCCATGCCCAGGACGGAAATCTCCACGAGCAACATGTTTACCTTTGCCTCTCTGTAGTGGTCTTGATAGCCGGGCCCTGACTTTCGCCTAAAAAACTAGCTATTAAACAAATCGACAAGCAACGGATACCAACAACCGAAAAATAACTTCAAGTCAAAGGACCAACCTTATTGTTTCCTTCTCCCAATTCTTCATTATTAATGCATTTAGCACACGTCACTGCAGCATCATGGGTATCAAATGTGACAAATCCAAAATCCTTTCTCTTGGCAGATGGCATGTTACGAGCAAGCTCAATCTTTTCAATGTGCCCATATTTCTTGAGAAGCCCCCGTACGCGATCCTCATCCCATGGAGCGGGGAGACCATCCACAAAAACAGTTTTAACCTGAACCCAAAAATATGTTATCAACAAAACTATCTCTGCGTAACCATGCAGAGCATTAAAACCAAATAAAACACAGTACACAGTACACAGTCCAATCTTACACTTGCCCAAACGAAAAAATTGCATCAAGGAATTCCATTTAGTAACCAAAAGATCCATATGTCCGAGAGGGTTATGTTATCAAAACATTAAAGGGAGAACACAAATCATACAACTATCATCCACAGCTTTCTTCTACCTTTTTATTTACAGTTATTTTCATCACACAAAAGAGATACCATCCCAAACAGTATAATTAGCCCAAAACAAAAATTGGACCACAAACTTGCTGACAAAAGTAACTACTACAGAATTTCCCAAATAAAATTGAATTCCACGCTTCAAACCGTTTGAGAAATTCCTATAACCCATTCTAACACCATATCTAGAACGGTACATAAATGACAGATATAGAGCTAAGACAGCCAGAGACAATGGTCTTCTGGATTTTTTTGATAAGAATGCTCTTCTCGATTGAATCCAGTAGAGTCACAATCCAAGTATTTACCTGAGCCATGATCTCATCACCTGGGTCAATGAAGGAATCTGCAAAAGAAACCTTAGCAGGCCTATCAACTCCAAAAACGACCTCTCTCTTCTGCAGACGCTTAAAAGCGTCCATAGCATCTGAACGAGAAGAGAATTCCAAGAAAGCAAAGCCCCGATTCATTCCTTCATTATTACCATCTTCAACCAATGTCAAATCCTCGATATTCTCAACTCCATAATGCTTCAACTTCTCTTTCAACTGGAAGCACATGTAATATAAGTGAGACAGCAATTAAGTAGTGCTAAGTATTCTAGTACATATAATTTGATGCTTGAGGATGACGTTAATTTCATTTGCTCTAATCTACTTACAGCTTCCTTTGTCCATGTCCTGCATACATTACCCAAAAACAGGGTGTCACTGTCTTGACTTGGAGTAACACCGCATTGTTTCCCATTAACCTGGAGTATTGATTGTCAAGAAGAGATGATTCAGCAAACAATCAAGAATCAGTTGGCATTAGATATATGACAGGAGCAAGGAAATACCACTGGGTTTTTCAGCTCGGTACAAGCTCGTTTTGCCTGTTCCACAGTTGCAAAACGCAGGAATGCAAACCCCTTATTCTTCTTAGTCTGAGGATTCATCATAAGTCTGACTTCAGTAACATCACCAATGACACTGAAGACTTTTCTAAGATCCTCCTCAGTAGCATCCTTGTCCAAGCCCCCCACAAAAACTTCAAACTCCTTCCGCTTGCGCCTCTCTTTAAAAACTTTATGGTGTTCTTCTTCATCTGCATCAACCATCTCACCATGCTCCTCTCCAGCATGCCCATCATCCTCCTCACCCTCAAGATCGTCACGTACGTCTTCCATTTCCTCCTCAACCATATCACCCTCTTCCTCTTCAGCTACATTCCCCTCATCAACTTCTTCCTCTACTTCATCTACCTCATCATAAACATCCTCCTGTTCGATGTCCTTCTCATCATAATCGTCACCACCATATTCTTCAGGTTCATATTCAGGCTCATTATCCTCCAAATCCAATCGTTCACTTTTTTCATATTCCTCAATGGACACTTTCACCTCACCTTCCTCTACAAGGAAAAAAAGGAGATGCAGACAACCAACCCAGTCAACAGAGTGATACCATAAACAGTTCTAAGTCCTTCTAATACCAACTTAGTACCATTAACATTCACTAGCCAAAAACAAAATTGGAACAACAAAAGCATATTGAAATCACTTTGGTCATCAACCAGTGCTCTTGCAAATATAAATCAGCGATGCAAGAGGGAAAAAGTTAGAATATGACTTTCTGCCACAAAAAATACTTCCACCAGGGATTACCATGTTTTAATTTGGCAAAATTCACTCACGTGTCTGCAACTCAACTATATTTCTTTTGAGGTGACACATAAAGAATCCTTAAACAATATCCCTCTCCACTATTAGGATTCAAGCCCTGTACCTTCCTAATCAGGAGACACAACTGGAACCAAACGCAAGTGGAAAATGCTACTAGAACCATATATATAAATTCAGTTAAGACAAAACAGAAGACTACAAACAGATGGGATAGAAAGAAACTGTCCTTTAATGTTGGTTCAACTCTTCCGTCCCGATAGATTTTTTCTTTTATCTACTCAGCAGAAAACTTGAACCAAGAATTTCAGTGAGTTAACATTTGAACAAAGCATCTTTCTTAGTTGGCGAAAACCAGAGGAACTCATATGCAGACTAAGCAAGAATCTGCAGACAATATAGGACCATAATCTACACTACAGTGATAAGCATAACCTAGCCAACCATCAAAGAACCTATGATCTGACGTCTCCCCCATCCAACCCCATGAATTGATCAATTTAGATCTAGATCTCCATTATTCATCTTCTGTTGTACAGCTAAACACTACATCTTTGTCCCTCTGTTGAGTAACCTTTTTTCCCGACAAACCTATTAAAAACACAATTTCATTAAACAACCCAATGCTTTGAGAGAAAAAAAAAAAAGTAAACCCTCTAAAAAAGGCCACACCAATAGCACACTTAAATAATTCTAAAAAAAAAGAATTTTCCACCACAATTCCATGAACCCAAAATCTACACAAATTTCTCAAGAACACACAAAACCCATAGCAAATTTTTACAAATCCTATTCCGATATCCATAAGCACTTAAACCCAATAATAGATCAGGCATAAATGTCAGAAACCAAATACCGCAGAAACAAGCCTCTCACGACAAAAGGGTACGATGTACAGTTCCCTTTCGATATCGACAAACATTAAAAAGACACGATTTTACAATAATTCATCAAACCCATCAAATAAAGAGATAAACATATCGACCTGAAGAGAAAAAAAATCAGATCCTAAGATAATTAGTGAAACGAAAGACTTACTCTTCCCAGTTCTATTCTCCTCCGATTTTGCCTCCGTCTTCGTCTCCACCTCTCGTTCCAGAACCGTCGCTGACACGGCCTTGTTCTCCACAACCGTTAGCTTCTCCTCAATAACCTCTTCAACCGTCACCTCCTCTTTGACTTCCACCGAAACCTTCTCAATCTTCACCGAATCTTCGACGATTTCGGGCTGACTTTTTGCCTTGGGCGTCCCTCGGGTTACCCTTGCCGTCCTCTTCGTCCCCGGGCCAGGTGGCGTCTTCTTCACCGCTCTTGGAGGCATTGTTTCACAGAATTAACCGGTATAAAACAAGAAAATCACGAAATTCGATACCCAAGAAACAATTGTAGCCTAAATTAACCTAAATAAAGATAGATTCGAAACACTAGATGTTGTGAGAGAAAGAGAGCGAGAGAGAGTAAAAGAACCTAAAAGAAGTTAAGGATTGGGGATCGGTTGGGAAAACCCTAGTGGTATATATATATTGGGTGGAGAGAGAGTAATTAATAAATGGAGGGGTATTATGTGTATTTAGTTAATTACTTGGAGCCGAAGTATTGGTAATTTCACTCTAGATTCGATTAACACGTCGGAGAAATTGTTTTGGGTGATGGGTCTTAATCCGATCAGTTAATCCGGTAGAAAATCATCTTTATTAAAATGATCACCTAAATTCTTACCCAAATTTTGGTGAAAAAATAATAAAAAATTTAATTTGATATAAACCCAATTTTAAAATAAAAAAAAATTCAAATTCAAATGAAAAAATAATAGAATATGACTATTAAATCTTTAAAGGATAATGAAATCTAACTATTAATAAAAAGAGTAAGGATTTTAATCTTCCTTAATTTAGGTTTAAAAAATAATTTTCTTTCATTTAGTATAAGTATTAGTCTAATATTAGAGAAAATTTTTAAGAATTTTTTTTTCTTTTTTTTTAAAAAGGGTTTAAAAAAAAGTAAGAATTGCAAATGCTCTAACAATAACTTTTTGTCTGAATATACTTTATAATATCAAAATTAGGTATTAATTGTATACATTTATATTTTAAATAATAATATATTTTCCCATTTTAGAAAATTGCATAATTTAAAATTAAAGTGAACAAAAGATAAGAGAGAAGTAGGGGAGAAAAAATACTGGGATAAAACAGAAAAATACTGGATCGAGTTAGTTTGTTTGGGAAAAAGTTAAATTCTCAATTTATAAAAAAATAATTATAATTAAGATTGATTCAATTTTTATTTATTTTTAAAATATAAATTACAATTTCAAAAAACATGATTAATCATAAAATGTTAAAACCGATATCACGCTTTTAATGATCAATTATAGGTATCCGTGATCGATCATTACCTCGCATAAACATTTATAATTTTTTTTTCAAATTTGTAATTTTAACCATCAAAAATTTCCGTAGAACCTCCCCTCAGAAGGAGGCACTCAAAAGAAAAGCTCTATCCACATTTTATACAACTCATCTTCTGATAGTTAATAGTATTAGATACTGGAATTAAAGTCACATCAGTAGCACCAAATAAAACATAGATAGATGATAGACACCGCTTTGTACGGCTAGAAGCAAGCACTGGTGATAGCCCAAGTTCTGAATTTCAAGTACACCTCTTTGACAAATCATGGCCATGTCAAATGCACCAAAATCCATCAGAGAAACATAAAATATCCATCAGTTATAAAAGTAAAGGCTAGTGATACCACACCCATGACCATCTTTAGAAACAAATCTTTTTAACCAGATGCGCAAGCTGACGTACTAAACTCCTGCAGTTTGAAACAACTGTTCAACCTCAGTTATGCTAGTGCGGGCTTCTTCAATTTCAGGGCCTTCTTTCTGGTCCATCTCCCCCAATTCAGCCTGAAATTCAGTTTTTTCGTTTAGCAGAAAGCAGTTTTTTTTTTAATCAGAAGAAACAATGACTGATAATTATGCCTTAACAAGATTACAATAAAGAAGGTGGACGAGTTTTCCAACCAAAAGCAAAATTATAAAATCACAAAACCATAAGAATCCAATCTAAATCACATAAAGCATTCCATCCAGCCAAAATGCAAAATAGTGCAGTTCCAAATGGTTGACAATTTGCTGGGTATTTTATTTTTTTCATATTGCAACTCTGCAAATTCTCGTTGATAGGAACAGCAATCATAACTGCAAACAACTCCGGCCATATCAGGTTGATCTATATTCTTCGCCAAAGCAAACTAATACGCATGAGAATAAAAACTCTGCATTCTCGACCTAGTAGCACTAGAAAATAGCTGGCTGCTTTTGCTCTTCATAGCAATGAAATATATCCACTTGTGTTTGTTTAACTCGTAAATGCAAAATACAAAACTTCATTGCTGCTCACCACTCACAAAATAGAGTAGAATAGCATATTGTGGACAGCATCTTGACTTCTTGAGCTGTCCTGAACTAATTCAACTATCTTTCTTTTTTGGGTTAGGGTTAGCTCCATTTTAAAGGAAAGAATCTACTCCTAAGACTAGCTTATAGGCTACCCACACACTACCGGTTTATAACATGCAACATGCTAAGCAAGACTTCAATGCTCAAGTACTGTACTTTCCTAACAGAAAAGCAGTGAGTATCAAGTATAATAACCGGGTGCTCCCATACCAACCATGTTCTAGCTAAGGTATATCCAAGAACAACGTATAGCATAAAAACGAAATTCCACCCTAACCTCAGCAGCTCTATCCTTCCTAATTAAAGTCCCAACAAATGAATGAACAGTTAAAGATGAATGTAACTAACAAATGTTAGCCCAGCACAATCTTAAATATGCATTGTTGAGAAATAGAATGTGGCCCGGTCTCAAGTCTCAACCCAGGCCAATAAGTAACAGTTCTGTCCAGCAGGGTGGGGAGGGATAACTCATTTGATTAAGCAATCATATAGCAATGTCTAGTTCAAATACCGTGTAAATTCCATTAAAATTCATAACACTTCAGCATCTAAACCCAAAAGCCGTGGTATTGGAATCAGGCAGTTTTCTGTGTGCATCATTATTATGATCCAAAGCAGCTAAACATGAGCTCAAGCCACATGTAACATATTTCCCAGCACTTATATAATCTATTATAAAAGATACAGTACCAATGTTCCTTTTAGGTCAGCTAGTGAGGCCTCTAGGCGCTTGCGACAATCAGGAATCATCATCCTCGATTCAGCGAGCACATTTTCCTGCCAGTTACGTGAAGGAAGGAATAAAATCAATGCTAACAAAATATTACAATTAAAACTTGAAGCAATGCCTATGACCTTGAAAATAATAATTGACCAGTTAGAGATCAGACTTAGAGTTGCCAAATTAATATGAAGAACTGGCAGTCCACCAAAAGATAGAGTTTCAATTGAAAGAACTTATAATGAAGTGGGGCAACTCCACTGAGATAATAACAGGTTCAATCTGCAATTCAGGCTGACCACAGATGCAACAATGCTCAGGTGTTTCAAGCATTTGCTTGTCAAATTGAATTATTAATACTCTCATCAAGCCCCAACAAGCATTTGACTAGGCAGGTTTAGTGATACACTGGCCACTGAATCATTAAAGGGCAATTTCAACACCACATATAAAGCAACCGGATGTATTTCTGCATAAATTGAAATCTCAGACAAAAACAATTTACTCCATCTCATAGCCTTCCAAGATACATTAAGCTATGGTTTTAAAAGCTAACCAAAACATTTTTAAAAAGAAACTGAATCCATAATGTAGGAAAAATTCCATAATCAAGTTCAGGGACTGTCACAAGCTGAAGTACTTGTGATATGCGCAGATGCAGTTCCCAATACTTTAAGCAAACAAGCATCAGGATTAGATGAATGGCCTTGTTGCCAAATTGCTAGCCAATTGGGTTTCTCAGTAGTCAGTACAAGATGTGGGCTTCAAGCCCCAACAGTGCTGCTTCTATATAATATATCCAGATGTTCTTAACATAAACCACAGCACACACGCGCACAAAGGAAAAGAACACACCAACAGGTATGCAAAATTATAAAAACACTGGCTATAACAAATAACAATGTGTTGAAACATGGAATCCATTGCCTGGAAACAAGATTGGCCACTAAATTTAATCTTCTTTCAAACTAATGTGGACACCAATTCCAATAACGATTCCAGAGTATGGTTTCCATGCTGTCAATTGAAGCTTAAAGCCCACTAAAATCCCCATGATTTTTGTGTTATTTAATCATTTATAATGATTTTCTTACACTGATCTTCCTTGGTCCCTGGTAGTTTGGGTGTGAACTTCCAACCATTAGGCCAAGGGTTCAAGGCTGGTAAAGAGAGAGTAATGATTTTCTTACTCAATCAGGTTTAAGTTTTTTTTCCCAAAACAAAGCCAACACCGCACATTTTCATAAAACCTTGGCTTTATTGCTAAAAACCAAAACCTTGGTATTGCTTTTTAGAACAAGTTCACTGTGTTTAACAAGAAAACAAACATATAACTGTATACACCCACAATGTTTTCTTCATACTCATAGATCAATAACACATGATAAATTGCAGAAAGATATAGCGCGAATACACACATTGATGGGTCAAATACCTGTTGCTTGAGGTCATAAGGATCAGCGCCTTTCTCTTTCATATCGGCAGTCTTGGTTGCTTCCCTCTCAACCTCTTTCTCATACGAATGAAGCTCCTTCACGATACGCTTGCAAGTCGATGTCTTGATTTTCAGATTCCTAAGGGTCGCCATCTCAGATCCTGTGTCACAGACGGGGAGAGAGAGAGAGAGCGACGGAGACGGAGACGATACTTTCCTCTTTTTGTTTTCCAGGAAAATAAATGACAAGGGTTTTGGATATCTGGAATTTTTTTTATAAATTAAAATTTAATTTTAATAAATATAATAACAATAAAAATATTTTTTATAAAATAATTATGTCATTATTTGATAAAATATAATGAAAAATAATATTTTATTTTTATATTATTAATTAAACATGTTAATCATGTCAGCACTGACCCGACTTATTTATTATATGTGTTAACAAATGGTGTTATTTTATGGGTTTTTGCCAACAAATTGTTAACCCTAATTCGCTAATTTTGTGTCGATTTCGCATCGTATTGTTGTGTCGTATAAAAAATAGTCACCCATAAGAAAGACTTAACTGACACTAAATTAAGGTAATTAAAAATTTATAGACCAATATAAAATAAAACAAAAAAAATTGTAGTATTTATAACATAATTTAAAAATCAAATCAATACAAAATTAACGAGTTTAATTTAATTTCTATCATGATAAAATAGATTATTTTAACGAATTCAACTTATAAATGAAGTCCTAATTATACATAACTTACAAAGAGTATAAATTCAACATGACTTGAGTCCAACTACATATCTATAATATAAAAACAGAGTAAACTTTAATAAGTTAATCCGACGGTCTCAAATAGACTCATCCGACGACCACCAATATCGCTCTCAAAATCATTCACATTGTACCATACCTTCAAACACTGGTTACGGTAGTAAAATTATAATTAACCACAATACAATAAATTTCATTACAAATCGTACGAGACTAGAGGTTTCTACCAAAGGACAGTTCTATCCAATCCATTCAAAACAATGCCAGCTTCCAACAGATAAATACACATACATATAACATATATTAATGCCAGTTATAAATTAAAATGTCACATGATCATCAATCTTCTTAAGGATCACAAAAGGAAAAATAGCAGCAAACCTTGCATATCTCCTACCAGTAAAAAGAAATTAAAAACATATCCCAAAAGGAGAAAAGAATACACAGGAAATGAACTTCTGGTAAGAGTGAGGAGAGAAGGGAGTCATCATGATCAATGGAACATCAGCTGCACTTCAATGGACTCAGTTAAAGTATGAGACAGGATTTGTATTTTCTCTTCTGTTTCTTGGGCTTTGGAGGCTGGAGAACCACTTTGATTGCAGCATCAAAGACAACCTTCACATTCTGCATTTTACAAAAGGAAAAAAAAATTCAACTCGATGCTATTTGAACCGAATTTGTGGAAGAATGGCGCTTGTACTTATCTTCCGAGACTCGTGTCATGTTTAACCATAAAGCCAGTTAGTCAAAATATATGCAGAACAATCAGCCCACCCTGGGATAAAATGGTTCTAAATCTAGTATCATTCTAAGGAAAAGTCGAGGCAAATTTTCAACTCCTGTCATGTTTTTCACCCCTGAACATAAAATCAGTCGACTCCTGCCTTTTACGGAAAATATGTTGAACTATTTCTTGATAATGATTTAGTTCAGCAATTTTAGTTCCCTTTTACAGGTGAGGGGATACAAAAACAAAGCAAGCAACACCTCGTTGGAAAATGACTTGTTTCACTGACTTTGCCATCACTGTGACACCCATGGTGTAGATTATTGGCCAAAGAGAACATCATGAACCCAAAAAAATAAACTGGCACATTCAAACCTTTGAGGTTCCTAACTCTCTCAGATATCCTCAAATCAACAAACTATTTCAGACTATCCACAACCAATAGTTTTCGACAATGAAATATGTGTAATAAGATATATTCAACAAATATACTGTCCAAGAACTTATAAAGGCAAGGGACAAACCTGCTGTGTCTTGGCGCTGCACTCAACATATGCCACTGCTCCAATTTGTTTCTTTAGTTCTTCACCCTGTATTCAAGAAATTAAAGAAATAAAAGTTCGATTCTCTAAGTAAGGTAGCATCTTGAAATCATACACTACCCTAGCACCAAACATGTGTATAATAATCCTAGTAGTCAGTTTTTTTCACAATTAACATACTGTCATGAACAGGTTGTTAAGTGTGTTAGATCTCGAAACCATTTTTAACATTTTTCAATCCATTCTCTTTACCAAATGGCCCAGTCAACAAATTTTAATTCGGTTTTGCCTGTTTAACAAAGTCGAGATTTCAGGTTTTCCTTTTCTTTTGTGAAAATTATGTTACGTATGCATTTTCACTATGACATGTCAATATTTGTTTGCCATTTGAGAGTGCAGGGAACAATATCTAACATTCTATGCTGCATGGCTAATTCGATTTCATCGTACTTTTGTTCTCCCTCAGTTGCCAAGAAAATAAAGGAAGAGTAAGACAAACGAATTAGCAGATAATTGTCCAACCATATAGTTGCAAGAGTCTAGACATTTTTTCCCATCCTTTTGGTACGGAAACACCAACAGTTTAAAGCAGAAAGCCTTTATGGAGTACTCAGATTGGGATACTAAGAAGTTCTGCACCAGAAATTACCACTTGACAAGTTGCCAAGCATAACACAGAACAAGTAAGTGGTACCAAAGTGGCATAAAGTCTATAATTGCTAGAGGAAAGGAAAAAAGTATCAGCACAGAATAAATACCTGTTCTATGGAAATGGTACATGCCCCTGGATAATCCATTTTGAACTGTTTGTCCTCTCTCAAATCTGCCATCAGACTGAACTCTATTAGACACAAAAAGGCAAACTGATATAGGGGCATAGGCGGCTCGGCATCATCTTTCACTTCACATTTCGTAAATAACCAAATAGTAGACTATCCCCATTGTTCTGTGAGCAACTAACTTAAGCCCTGCCGCACCTAAACCAATTAACCGAAGGACAACTCAACTCCAATAACCTTAATCCCACCTAGCTGGGAGACACAGAAAGGCATGTGCACACACACACACTGACGTAACTCAGAATCAAGCCCCTCTTCAAGTATTATAAACCATTTCTCCATTATCTTAGACTATCCCATCATTGCCATGTACACAAGCACAATCAACAAAGATGACCTCAATAACAAAGATATCAGCTATATGTACATATACACACATTTATGAAACATAAAGGCATATAGGCGTGGGTGCATGTGTACGTGTATTTGGGACCAACACGTGCATGTATGAATCTTTCTTCCGTAATTTTTGAGATGTAAAAATATTGCTGAATATGCCCAGTTGGACTTTGACATTCAGCCTCTTGATATATGATGACAATTGAAAAAAAGAAAAGAAAGAAAGAGATGAACTTTGCTTTACCATTACACTTTTTTTTTTCTTCAAAAAAAGTGCACTCAATTGTTGAAGCATGTTAAAACTTCTTTGAAAAATAAAGGCATATCTTCAACAATACACATTCAAAGAAGGTATGACATCATGCAGTGCAGGATAAGAAATTACTCACCTAGTTTTGTCCCAACCAGAACAATGGGCACTGATGGGGCATAATGCCGTAGCTCTGGGACCCACTTCTCCAACATAACAAGGAGCAGAAAGTAAAAGAAGACATTATAATTAGGAAAGTAAATGACTATCATTGAACCACTTAATAAGGATTAAATTTAAAAAAGTAAGGAAAAAGAAGCTTACTTTTTTTGATATGTTCTCAAAGCTAGGCCTACTTATGAGAGAGAATGCAAGGAGGAAAACATCAGCTCCTCTGTAACTAAGAGGTCTCAACCTGTTATAGTCTTCTTGACCTGCATATAGGAATGAATGCTTTAAACTACAGATGAGTTTTAGAAATTACATAATACTTTAGTAACATCATGTGGGATATACAGTATCAATTGGCTAATTATTACTCTTAAGTCTTTCAAAAAACGTTGCCTTCAAGTTGATGATAGATTTTGTTCTTATAGTTTAGAAAACTCCACACTGTTCTAGTAGACTGGCCATAATCATGGATCAAGTAAAGATTCCTTTTTAGAAACAAAAATAATTGAGCCACTCGAGTTTTTTGCATTCCTTGTTAATTGGGATGGCTTGGTTTAGTATGGGGACTGATCCACAAGACTGACTTAGTAGTTGAGAAAGAAAAAAAATCCACCTTCTTTGTAATTTGATAAAAATACCATACCCATAAAAAAAAATTCAGAAAAAAAACTGTTGAACTAAATCCATCAAAATAGAAAATAAAACTACCACCAATTGCTGGGCTTCAATGGATTTTCTTTTTAAGTTTTAATTAACATCTGAATATGAAGTCTTTCAAGTTAGTAAAAAAGGGTATATCAGTGTACGAGGCTCCCGCCATTACGGGACTGGGGAGGGTCAGATGTACGCAACCTTACGTCCACAAATAGTAGAGAGTTGTTTTCACAGCTCGAACTTGTGACATCCAATTCACAATGGGACAACCTTACCGTTGCGCCAAGACCCGACCCTTCTTTCAAGTTAGTAGATAGCACAAAATATTGTGCTTGGTAGCCAAGAAGTCAGAGAGGACAAAAGGACAAAGTGAATGGATGGACCAACAATTTCAGTCCATTTAGTAGGTGCAAAATTCAAATTTAGCTGTTAAATTACAAAGCTCCTAGTTTTCTTGTAGAATTCAACACTTACGGAGTTGAACCAAATTTGAAAGATTTCAAAACTTATTCCCTCCATTCCTCAGGAAGGAGACAAGGCAATGAAGAATTAAACTTCTCCTTGAAGAACAAAATATATTATAACTGGTAGTTTCAGATTTTAGCAAATCCCAATTTGACAGGTTACTCAAATTCAAAAGATAACAGTTTTCAATACCACTTTCTTTGTTCATGGAATCATAGCTTGAGGATAGCTCAATTCTACTCCTATTAACGATGAAAGATGACACTTGACAGCGTTGGAGATTATGATCGAAAATCACACAAAATGAGAGAGAGAGAGAAATTACCAGCAGTATCCCAAAGACCCAGATTGATAGGCTGCCCATCAACAGCAACATTGGCACTGAAATTATCAAAAACAGTTGGAACATAATCCTGTCAAGAATCAAAGAAAAACCCACATTGAGTATTCATAAAGAATCAGAACCAGTCCAACGAAACATACACAAACCACATAGGAAGAGAGAGAGAGAGAGAGAGAGAGAGAGAGAGAGAGAATAAAGTTCAATACAGTTGGAAAGGTATTGCTGGTGTAGGAGATAAGAAGGCATGTCTTCCCAACAGCTCCGTCTCCAACCGTTACACATTTGATGAACTTTGTTGTTGTAGCCATTTCTTTTGTTGTGGAAGTCATTTCATTATCCTAACAACAAACCAGAACACTTCAACACCATCACAAGAACACCAACCAAAAAAAAAAAAACACCAACCAACAAGCTCTCTTTTTGAATATTAACTTACTATAAATCATGTACGAAGTTGCACATATTAAGAGAGAATCAAAAACCCACTTGGAAAAAATCTTTCTTTCTCAGTCTATGACCATCAATTCAGAGAGAGAGAGTGGGGGACAAGGGGAGGGAGCTAGAAAAGTAACATTTTCTTTGAGCTTTTCTCGGCAGGAAAGTGACGAGAGGACTTTATTTTGAGCTGTCACCTAGGCAAAAGAACGAAAACAAAAGGCAGGGGCAGACTCCAAAAGGAAAGAAGTTTTAATCACGCGCTTACACTGCGCAAGTGAGACAAATTCTTGGGACTACACAAATGGAAAAAAATTGATGGAATGAATGAACCTAGTAAAAGATCGAGAGAATTACGTCGAGATTTCTGAGGTTATCCCTTAATCACTTGGATTTAAATGTTACGTACAAATCTTTTAAAATTTGTACGTCTGTAACACGTAAATCTTTATCATTAATGTTAATTAATATATTTGTTAATAAATTATACCTAAATTCTCTAAAGTTTATAGACGCATAATATGAAAATCTCTCAAATTTAAAATATTATATTTAGATTAAAAATATATCAATCAATGATAAAATATCAAATATTTTAAATTTATAATTAAAATTTATGTTCTATTATATTATTTATTGAAATAAAATTAAAAATAAAAATCTAATTTTTTCTTAAAAAATCATAATTAATATATAATTATATTATCTATTTAAATAAAACTAAAAAATCAAATAAATGGTCTACGTCATTCATAATATAACATAAATTTTGGATGTCATTTATTGAAATAAAATAAAAAATCAAAATCTAATTTTTTTCTTAAAAAATCGCAATTAAAATAAAATTGTACTATCTATTGGAATTTAATTTGGTCATTTAAATGATCAAATTAGACTATCAAATTACCCTAATTAAAGTTAAAAGATATTATGTCCATTACAATTTGACCCCTTGTTTAATTTTTTTAGTTTTATTTCAATAAATAGTATAATTGTATACAAATTATGATTTTTAAGAATTAATTAGATTTTTATTTTTGATTTTATTTCAATAAATGTCATAATATAACATGAATTTTGGTTGTAAATTTTAAAATATTTGATATTCTATCTTTGATTGAGTATTTTTTGTCTAAATATAATATTTTAAACTTGAGGAGTTTAAGTATTATACGTCTATAAACTTCAGAGGTCTAAGTATAATTTACTAATTGATACAAATTTTAAAAGATCTGTGTGTAATATTTCAAATATCAGGAGTCTAAGTAATTAAGTGACAAACTTCAGAGAGTCTGAGTATAATTCTCCTTAAAAAATTTGGTGTGTTTCTTATATTTACTTAAAATTAAATTTAAATTAAAATAAAAAGTTGTTATAGGTTAGTGTATTTTTTGTATAATTTTCATAAAATTGAATGAAAAATAATAATAAATAAAAATTTAAAATTATTTCTATTTTTATAATTTTTATTCATGTGACTATTCTTGATGAGAAAAAATCTCAAACATTGATCTCGTGCATTTTCAAGTTAACTCAGACTCAAATTTTAATAAAAAACTTCACTTGATATGAATCTCTCAAATGGACAATTTCAATTTCATACTAAAGTGTTTCTATAATATTTTTTCTATATTGTCCCCAAAAAAAATTTTCTTTTATATTTTTTCATCCAGATTGTGTTGGTTTTTTTTTGAAGTCTAGTTTGTATATGTGATCCGGATGATGACCCAACCAGAAATAATGTTTGTGTGGTTTTTTAATAAAAAATTTTCTGATGCTTAGTCCATGGAACGAAGGCTTGGGCCCGTTATACAGCCCAGTGCGTAAGACATATAAACCCTGTTGTTTTGGTGATTAGGGTTAATCGTAGATTGTACAGCTGCTCTCTGTATTCAACTCTGTCAATAGTGAAATCTCTACAGCTTCATGGACGTAGGCAAATTGCTGAATCACGTAAAATCTGTGTCTTGTTCTTTCTTATTTTTTATTGCTTTATATTCTTGATTTGTTCTTCGATTGTGTGTGTTTGTTAGTGAATTTAAATCGTGTTAAATCCGAACAGATTGTTCCAAATTGCAAAACTAAAATTGGAATTCGAAGGTGGAAGTGAAATTCAAAGCTTTTGGCTTGAAGGAGGAAAGGTTTCTCTTGTGTTTAATATAAGTTTGAATCAAAAATAGAAGATGGTTGTTAAAATTTTTTTATTTAAATTTAAATTTTAGTTTACTTTTAAATAGCGAACGGAGATGACCATAGTGAACATTTATGAGTACTTATCACCTAAACTAAATCATTACATTTTTTAAATTTTTTAATATATAAGACAAGTGTTACATCTCAAATTTCATTGTTATTCTAAAGATCTTCTAAATATTATTTTTAGGGTATTGATTGGTTCTCTTTATGGTATTAATGTTATTCTTTACTTGATGAATATTCAATAAATTTCCCATACAATTCAATTAATAGTAAGCTGAAAGTCAATGCAAAATTATAAATTTTGATAAAAAAAATAATAATTTTCCTCATATATCGGCAGAATTAGCAATGTGCCAATCATAAAATCATGTTAAAATGTTCAACTAATATTTTTCAAATGCAAATCAGATCTATATCGTGTATAATTTTGTTATTATCAATCTATTTTAGATTGTTCTTTAAAAATCAACTAATTTAAAATTTAAACACAAGAACTCAACAATTATCAAATCATTCATGTTAATTTCTTGAAATAAGAAGAAAACATTGTTTAGGGTAATTTGTTTAAAATCGAAACAAAAACGCAAATCTTTCCTTCCTCAAGTTTTGTTTTAGAATCCCAATGATTCCTTATCATTTAGAGATTTATATGATCTAGATATGAATCTTATCAATATTTTTGAATAAGATAAGGTTACATAATAGTAGAACTAATACAACTAATAATAAACAAATTGAACAAAAAAAATTGGAAGTATAAAATAAAACACCTCGAAATACAAGAATAAGATTACAGAATGTTAGGATCCAATGCGTTTTAAACCAACAAGTAAATACACACAATCGAAAAACAAATAAAAAATATAAAATAATGAGAAGAAAGAAAGAACAAGACACACAGATTTTATGTGGTTTGATAATTTGTTTACATCCACGAAACTGCAAGGATTTTATTATTGAGAGAGCGGAATACAGAGGACGGCTATATAGTTACACTCAAAATTCTACTCATCAAAATAACAGGTTTTTATATGTCCTGTGTACCGGACTACAAAACAGGCCCAAAAATCATGAACCAAACTTCAGAACATTTTTCATTAAAAACCACGTAATATTATTTTGGATCGAGTCATCATCTGAATTAACACACAAATTAGACTCCACAAAAGTCGAACACTACCAGCGGCATACAAAGCTAAAATTTAATCTCTACCGTTAATTTTAATTTATATAATCTGTAATAGTTAATTAAAAATTTAAAAAATACACGTGCTAAATTTTTGTTTAATAAAAGTAAAAATATAAATAAACACTGACAATTGATATTTTGCCACGTGCTCCAAGGCGCGTATGTGAGATTTTAGTACAAGTCAGCTCCATAAATTCGATGTATCGGTGCAGTCAGTGTTTACAGTGGGTCAAAATTACGAATTTTAAAATATGATATGATTCTTTAATATTATACACGAACAGATGCACAAGATTAGATGCTCGTAATTTTAACCCATCCGTTTAATAAATTTTGAAATATTTAATTGAAAAGGGCCAAGAAATTTATTGAATGAAGTCTAAGACTTTAAGAATGGAAGAGAAGCAATAGCCGATTCATTGATAGTTTATACTAATTTTTTATCTAGTCTAATCAAATAGAGATCATTCAAGTCTGGATAAAGGAATTCATAAGAGATGACTTGACCCCAAATAAGTTATCAAGTTTTAAACTTCGAATTTTTAATTTTAATTTTAATTTTTCTAAATAAATTTTAAAAACTCAAAGTGAACTACTTAAATTTGAAGGGTATGATATGTAGATATCTTTTGTTTTGTTGTAGTTCTGCTTCTTGCTCTCTAAAAATGAAAAAAAAATTGTTGAAAATAGCTGGTAGGGCTGGTCCAACCAAGAAAGGCACGAGAGTTTTTGGACATTTTTGGGGCTAAGTCTTGGTCATGTTGCAATCAACTCCCTCCAATTTTAATTTCAATAATTTGTCCATATAAAGTTTGAATAGTTTTCAATTAACTTCATTCATTAGTTATCCACCGTTAAAAATGATGGAAATGTGACGAAAATTTGTTATGTGATCTAAAATTCAATCAAAAATACAAAATTATCACATATCATATTTTTGTTTAATAGAAAATCTCAAAAAATCAATTCCTCACAAAAGTTGGCTAGTGCACATTGAATCGCTTCTCTTGTGAAAACCCAACCCATCCCTCCTCTAGTAAAACCCCAAGTAATTGAACTCCACTAATCCGACAAAATTCAACCCTACCAGTAAACGAATGAACTCCTTCGCCTAAATTGATAAAACCCACCTCCACCATGCAAAAGTGAATCTCCCTATCCCTAAATGAAACTCCCCCAAAAATAATCTACAACAACCATCTGAGAGAGAGAGAGAGAGAGAGAGAGAGAGAGAGAGAGAGAAGAGTTTATATATATATGTATATACATACTCATATGAACGGATTTTGTAATTGTCACGGTTTACCAGTTGGCGAAAGAAAGAAAAAGTCTTCAGATGATGGAAATAAAAATGGACTAAATTTTGATGTTTTGTATTTGATTTTCCTGTGCTTGGCATGGAGGTAAGGGGCTACCAAAGATAGGTAGAAAGGTTAATGTTGGGTATGGAGGTGAGGGGTTGGTGGTATTGCTAGAGTTAGGAAAGGAGGGGGCAGTTGGAGTTGGAGAATGATTTAGGGGGTAGTCGGAGTTAGGGAAGAGGATAGGGGCCACCAGAGTTGGGAAAAAGGGTTTGGGAAAATGTGTTAGATAGAAAGAGAAGAGGGTAGTTTGGGCGTATTTTAGAAATTTTACATTTTTCATCTATTCTGTTAGTCAATTTAGTAGGACAAAAACTT